CCTCAAGTGTTTGAACACAGATTTTTCATATCTCCTAAGAAAAAGGCCAAACTGGCTAGAAACCAAAAAAGAGAAGCTTCCTCCCTGAGGGCTCCCATTCGTAACCCCTGTAACCCTCTCCCACAGGCTCTCTTCTTTTGCTTTCTCACCAGCCCAGTGCTGGGAAGGAGAACCTTCCCCAGCTCCAATCCCTTCTCCGGACACGCTCCAGCTCCTCAGGGTCTGTCTTGCCATGAGGGACCCAAAACTGAACTCAGGATTTGAGGAGTGGCCTCAGCAGTGCCCAGCATAGGGGGACGATCTCTGCCCTGGTCTTGCTGGCCACACTGTCCCTGATGGCAGCCAGGATGCCGCTGGCCGCCTTGGCCAAAGCTCCACCACTCCCTCAAGTGTTTGAACACAGATTTTTCATATCTCCTAAGAAAAAGGCCAAACTGGCTAGAAACCAAAAAAGAGAAGCTTCCTCCCTGAGGGCTCCCATTCGTAACCCCTGTAACCCTCTCCCACAGGCTCTCTTCTTTTGCTTTCTCACCAGCCCAGTGCTGGGAAGGAGAACCTTCCCCAGCTCCAATCCCTTCTCCGGACACGCTCCAGCTCCTCAGGGTCTGTCTTGCCATGAGGGACCCAAAACTGACCCCAGGATTCGAGGTGCGGCCTCAGCAGTGCCCAGCATAGGGGGACGATCTCTGCCCTGGTCTTGCTGGCCACGCTGTCCCTGATGGCAGCCAGGATGCCGCTGGCCGCCTTGGCCAATGTCTATGTGCAAGCTCTGTAAGGATCTGACGAGTACAGCTCATATCTGCAAGGCTGGTTAAATAGGTCCCTTGGGTAAGGGGATTTTAACAAGGCTTATGCCTGGGGGAGCCACCAGTAGCCAACGCTGAAAGGACCCAAATAGTTCAGCTTCAGTAATGAACTCCAACTGATCCTGAGGCCACATTTTTAAAGCATCCAGCAGAGGAGAAAACGCTGGGTTTGAGTTACTAAGCACGTTAACACTAGCAAAAAATCACTGTTTGATGCTCTCAAACCAGCTGTGGTTTTGACCAGTTTTGAGGTCTCGGAGAAAGCTCGCATGTTTTGCAGACAGATAAAAATGTACCTTCCGACAAAACTGTGCAGCAACAGCTTTGGAACAGACGTCACGCATCAAAGACTGCATTTTTAACACTGCAGACACCACATCCTATTTGGCTGTAAGCTGTTACACGGGTACGGATCCCCTAACTGTAGCTACACTGTTCAGTGCACTGGTTCTGTTAGGGGATTTGAAGGAACAAGGACAGCAAAACAAAGGATGCCGGTAGACTTATTGGTGATAAGGAGGCAACAATAATAGTATTTGATCTTAAATTTTAAAAATCAATTTCACAATTTGGCAAAATGCACAATTTTAGCCTATCGTGATATAAATTGGTCATTTCCTTGGACAGGTACAGGTGTTTGGTAACAGCAGTGAAGATGACCTAGGGGGAACAAGCACAATGAAGCGTAATGAAGACGTACCACGGTTTCCTCCAGCCCCTTAAGATCTTCTCTTGCTTGTTCCCTTTTATCATTAAGCAGTCTAGAAAGATCACAACATTAAACACAAGTCAGAAATGTTGAAGTCATATAAAACAGAAGAGAATCAATCAACATTCAGTTTGAGTAGAATATCTGCAGATGTGAGCAAATTGCACAGCTCTCTGCATCTGTAATTATGCTTTCGACCGTCCTCAATGTGCAGCTTTATCACGTGGAATAGCTGAGCCACATCTCCATTTTTTGTGTCCACTCATCAAATTTTAATCTCTCATTTCCAGGAAAGGCTTTTACTCTGATTTATTACTTAAAAAAAACAAAAAACGCACCCAAATCCCCCAACTTCTTTCTTGTTTGCTTTTGCTCTGCAGGAAGGAGTGAGGGATTTAGCACTTGCTATGGTATTTCACAAATTCAGAGCTCTAAAAAAATCTTTTCTGGCAAGTATCAAACCCACTACTGAAAAGCCTATGATATAAAAATGTGGAGTAATTGGTGATCATTTGTCAGCACTGTATGTTGGCTTTGTTACTGAAATGACACTTTCTGTGTGAATATTCCAAGACAAATGCCTCTCACTAGCACATGCCCTGGGGACACATTAAGAGACAATATATTCAAGGACACCAGTTGAGGAAACTGTTGACTTACATCAGCTTTTCCAGTTTCATTTCTCTTTCCTGGTCCTCGATTTTTAATTTATCATAATCGGCACTCAGCTTCTCTTGTTCCAGTTGCAGCTTCTGATTCATACTGGAATGTGAAAGGAAAAGTCAGTACAGCTCAGTCCTGAATCCCATATCGAAGGGCGGGTAAACCTCCATGAACAAAATGGGGTTGGGCAGAGGAAGTAACTCCCTACTGGAAAATTCTGAAAGACATTAAGTATAAAGAATCTGAAGAATAATATTTAAAAATATTGGAGAATGAAATTCAGTGGCTTGTTTCCTTTGAGACGAAGGACACAACCTCTTCTTGCGATCTTCCCATCCTGCATCCTCATATTTCTCATCTCCCTAGTATGAGCACACACTAAACACGATGAAAGAATGAATGCTATGTCAGGATCGCCTGGATTCTGTGAACACTGACAAAAACCAGAGCACAGGAGCAAAGAACTCCATGTTTCAAGTGCTGGAGTATCTGACCAACCAGTTACGTCACTGTGTCAGGAAGAATTATTAAGGGTATGAAAATGAGGCATTCGAGCCACCCAAACTCTCAGAAAGTCTGTGGCAGGACTAGTTGCTATGACAGGCCCTCAAAACCTGTATCTTTTAAAATCTGTTCTCCTCCAAGCTTCTCTTACCTACTGACCTGCAGGTGTAACATCATCCTTTCTTCTTCCTCTCTGCAATTTTACGGACTTGTTAAAGCTCCACAATAAAAATCTAGGCACTATAATCCCCTGTGCAAAATAATCAGCGGGCTGGATGTTGCATGTAAGGACACTACTCTCTGTAAGACACCGCAATACGCAGACATCATTGAAAACTAACAAGACCAACCCCAAAACATCCCTACAGTGTCACAGAACAGGGCGGGAACAGAGAAAGCGATGTGGCAAGTCAACATACTCTCTGATTTCATCAATTATTTTCTGCTTCTCTTCAATTTCATCCCTCAGCCTGGACAGCTGCTTCTGGTGGGCTTCCCTGTGACTCTCCATCTGCTGCTCCAGCGCCTTCTGCAGAGGGGGAGAACCAGAGCCACGCGTGAAAGGGGGATCAAGCAACACACAGCCGAGCTCCCTTCTTACGTGTCGGCTCAACCAACCTCTCTTCCTGGGTTTGAGTGAAGCTTATCACATCAGGTGAATCGAGGAACCTGCCTGGTATTTCCTTTTATGATGACAAACTGCATCTACTCATCCAAGCATTTAATTCAGACCGTTTTTAGCAACCGATGGACACCAGTTTCTACTCACTTTCTTGCAAAAACCACCGCATGTGATGGCCAGGGTCTTAGCACATCGAGTGCCAAGAATGACAGTTTTTACCAGTCCTCTAGTATTTCACCTGCTTATTCACCATGAAAATATGTGTCCAGCCATATGTGTGACAGAAGTGAGACCCAAAACACCCTCCCCTCTCTGAGGGCTGTTTATCCACAGCCCTGTTACTTATATTCTAGGATTAGATATATCTCAGGTACTAAGAACAACTCAGAGCCTCTCTCTGTATTGCTAATAGAAGATCACTAGTTTGATAACTTAAACTTTTTATAATGGAGGTTAAAAGTTCTGAGGCTGAGAAACCCCTACCACTATTCTCGTAAAATTATACTTTTCCTTCTGTGCAATTTGCAACCCCCTCAGACACACAATTCGCACATTATTGCCGAATATTTCTGCTTTGTATTCCAAAGGAAGAAGAAAATGCCAGAAAAAAGGTTTGTATCTCATTTTTATTTCCAGGAGATAGTCAGAATTCTTGCCAAACAAATTAGGAAAGTGGGCTGGCCTCTTTTTTATCAAATTTTAGTACCTAAATGATATTAAACCTGATGGTCTATTTACTATTTAGCAAATGGACTTTCAGCAGACTTCCACTGCCAAAAAAATTAGAGTAACACAGAGGTGAATCGCTGTCATTTTTCAATCGTGTATAACAAAACTGTTCTCGACTATGGACACAACATACCGGCTCTTGTTCTCTCTGTGATTTGAGGAACCCAGAGCTCTCCCGTTCAGCAAACGCAGTCCGCTGAACCTCGCTCCTCTTTGAAGTGGGCTCAGTTTACAAACTGGTCTCAGAAGACGCGCTCCCTCAGATATTCAGGCTATAACTTGCTTTTTTCCATCATCTGGTCAACCACCTCAACACTAGCGAGTTCTCCAGTTTCACACTGCGAAGGTCACTCAATTACACGCGGTCGGGTTTTCTAACAGAGCCTGCCAATCCTGACACAGGCTGAAAGTGTTTTCTAAAAGCACACAACGCGTACAGGATGACAGAATTACCCCCTAATTACCAGCTTAACGAACGATCTCACGGAGAAATGCCTTCTAAAGTTGCCGCGCGCCACACTACCTTCATCTCCTCTGCGTCCTGAAGCCGGGTCAGATGCTCCTTCTCCTTATCCTTGAAGCTGACTTCGTGCATTTTTTCTGTTTCAAGTTGGAGACAGCGGAAAATTAACCACACACTTCCAGGATGTGCCCATTTAAAAAACAAACCCAGTTCCTCTTTTAGCAGGGGGCAGCAGGGTTAGGGCAGCTTTGGAGGGGCAGAAGCAGCCACGGTTTGCGGTACCCAAGCCGTGACCATACTGCCCAAACCTCCTTTCCCCCTGCTAACAGCCCACAGTGTTTTCAGCCCGCCCAGCACCTTCCCAACCTACCCTTACCTTACCCTCTCCTTATAACCCTGCGTATCACAATCCCCCTTGTCCCCTTTCACTTTTTGCTGGGAAATGGTGCCTCCAGGACCAGGTAATTTCTTATGAGTAAGGTAGGAAAACAGGAGATGGAATAAAAATTCTGCCAGGACTCATATAGTGAGCAGACTGTAAAATGTTGTAGGATTACGGCACACATGGTACTTCAGCCAGTACTGAATTTCCTAAGATACAGTTGGTAAAATCATTGACGACCACAAGACCCAGTGTTGTACCTTGAGCACGTAACTTGGCAAGTTCTTCATTGAGAGAGTCCTGTGACTCTTCCAGCTGCCTCCTCTTCTGCTCCATATTTTGCATGTAGTCTGTAAGGGACTTGATCTTTGCTTCATGCTTTAGAGACACGGGGAATAGCAATGAGACGTGAGTAGCACAGCTTGTCCACTAACAACTCAGGTACTGCTCGAGATAAAGGAGGGAAAACAGAAAGCTCTCCACATCCAGAGCTGACGACTAGGTGTTGTGGTTTAGCCCCAGTCAGCAGCTGAGCACCACACAGCCACTCGCTCACCTCCTCATCCCCCAGATGGGGGGGGGGAGGGAGAGAATAGGAGAAAAAAGTAAGAAAATTCATGGATTAAGATAAGAGTTTAATAACATAAAACAAATGAAACGATACTACTAGTACTGATACGTAATGAAATACGACTATTAATAATAATGATAATAATGCAACGAAATAATGCAACGAAAAAAAGGAAATAGGGAAGAAAACAAAAATTCTACAACTGCTCACCACTGTTCAACTGACACCCAGCCAGTCCCCAAGCAGCGATTCCCATCCAACTCCCCCAACTTAGGTACTGAGCATGACGCTGGGTGACATGAAATATCCTTTTGGTCAGTTTGGTCAGCTGTCCAGGTTGTGTCTCAGGCAGGGGCAGTATGAGAAACTGAGCACATCCCTGGCTTAATGTAAACACTGCTGGGCAACCACTAAAAACATCAGTGTGTTGTCAACATTATTCTCAGCACAAAGCCAAGACCTCACCTCATACTAGCTACTGTGAAAAAATTAACTATCCCAGCCAAACCCAGCAAAATATCTGAGAAGGAGCTAACGGACCAAACCAGATCACGTTTTTAAAGGCCACACTTAGTAGCCCAAGACATTTACTGAACAGCGCAGATGGAAATTCCGAAATATCGTGGGAAACTCATGTCTCGGTGTTAAACCAACAGCAGCAGCCATCTAAAACCAGCTGAACAGTGGGCTTCTGAGGTGGCTTCCTGGGTGCTTGAACCTGCAGAAGCTGAGATCGACCTTCCCCAGCCATCCTGATGATTTGTTTATTGCTAACATCCTTCTGAACTAGAAGGGCTTATGGTTAAAATAGAAAATAGTGAAGAACACAGTGAAAACATCAAAAATTGAATTAGAAGTTTTTAATTTGGGGATAAAATTCAGATACCTATTGCTAACATCCTTCTGAACTAGAGTGCCTTATGGTTAAAATAGAAGATAGTGAAGAACATAGTAAAAACATCAAAAATTGAATTAAAAGTTTCTAATTTTGGGATAAAATTCAGATACTGTCTGGGAATTATTACATCCTATTA